AGGCTTTAGATAAGAACAAAAATAAAAGGTCGGATTTTAAAAGGCAATCACTCACAGTCAGTTTGGAGAATATTTAATAGCTAATGGGAAGCCCAAGGAAGATGTGTTGTTAAGGATCAAATATAATAGGCTCTTGAAAATAAGTTATTACTGGCTGATTAACAGTCAATAACAATATTACAGGGAAGAAATATAGCCCAAAGGAAAGGCATAAGGAAATTGAGAAATTATGTCTTTGCAAAGAAAAAAAAAAAAGGTTTTTTTATCATGGTGTCCTTTAAATATATCAAAATGAGGGTGATCAACCTGAGAAATGGATGTTCTTTTTTGATGCTCATGGGCATGGGATCTGGATGTTCTTGGGGGATGCAAAGGATCAGAAGGTAGTTTTATTTTTAATTTTTGGGGAAACCTATGTGCTGTTTTCCATATCATTACTCACCGTAGCCAAGATATGGAAACAACCTAAATGTCCAGTGGAGGAATGGATAGAGATGTCACACACACACACACACACACACACACACACACACACACACAGAAATATAACTCAGCCATGAGCAATAAGGAAATCCTGCTATTTATGACAACTTGGATAGATCTTGAAGGCATTATGCTAAGTGAAATAAGTCAAACAGAGAGACAAAGTGAGTATAATCTCACTTATATTTGGAATCTAAAAACAACAAACTCAGAGAAACAGAGTAGAGTGGTCCTTACTAGGGGTTAGGGTGGGTGGGGGGAATAAGAAGTTATTAGGCAAAGGGTACAAACTTCCAGTTATAAGATTAACAAGTATGGGAATCTAATGTCCAGGATGGTGATTATAGCTGATAATACTGTATCATATACTTGAATATTGTAGATCTTAAATATTCTAACCACCCCTCCCCCCCCCAAAAAAGAAATGGTAACTTTGTGACCAGTTCTTTCTGATAGCAAAAACTCAGGACAGGGTAGACTACCAACACACCTTTACAAATCTGCATAAAATGGGCTAAGTGCAACATAATGATAAAGATAAACAATCTCAATTATGCATATACAACGAATAAATCTGTGTGACTTATTACAACAGAGCAAAGGACCTGGGAACCTTGTGGAGCACCTCTTTGGTTCAAAGACATTCATACTGTTGTGACCATTCGTCTACTCTCTCATCACTTCCTCTCCAGTCTTTGTTTTCTTCTTCCTTCACCCCCCCCCCAAAAAAGGACGTGTCTTGAGTTTACATCTGGAAATATAGATTAAGCTCTTGATACTGTATCTTAGACTCAGTCAATAGGCAGCAGTTTTATGTGTTGAGAGTGAGGACTCAGGACTTAGCTGGATATCTTGATTATAAAATCCAATTTTCAATGAGGCTGTTTTTTTAAAAAAAATAGTTCTCATGAGGCAATCATAGAAGCAAAGACTTCAAAAAAGATGATAACTACTATTATTATAAAGGAACTATAAATATGACCAAGTATGGAAATCCCTATTTTATATTGGGACTGCTATATCGAGTTCTCCTTAGTTATAAAAATAATCTAGTGTATTTAGTATATTTGGAATAGATGTGAACTTTTTTCTGGAAATGATAATATCTAGATCTGTGACAAAGAGAAATATATGTGATTTATCACAAAGATGTTTAATTTTCATTTCATTACATTATGTTCTGTGAACATTTATATCTAGTCTTTAATTAAACATGATTTATTCAAATTGAGGTCTGTTTCCATTTAGATTGCTTGCAGTGTTAATCACAGTGCAAATAGCCTTCACCGCTGAAAGAATTCCTAAATTATACTAATATATAACCACTTCCCTGTAATTTGCATCTATTATGTGAGCCTACATGTTGCTAGATAGGTCCATAGGTAGAAAGGTTTTATTTATTTACTACTAAATTAAAGAACATAACTCATTTAATATAACACTTATACTTGTATGAATTTAGATTTAAAGTAGTTCTTTGAGTTAAAAAATTGAAAAATGCATAAACAATAAAAGATCATTCTTTATCGCAAATTGTGTATGGCTATAAAGCATTGTCACTTCAGCAATGCAATTCCAGTTTCTTCTACCTCCTGCTAAATTCTGGGTAAAGGTATAACTTTTTTTTTTTTCTCTTGTTTTAAAATCAGATGTTCTTAATTATAATTTCTTTTTTTGTTGACCATTGTAGATCTGGACTGATGAACAGTTAGAAAGTTTAAAGTTTGATTTGTCTCAATTAGATTCACATTCACATGTGTTAAATAGTATTTATTGTGTAAAGACTTGGAAGATATAAGGAAGCTAAGAACAACAGCGCCTGCATGTCCTTAATGGTATATATTTTAAATCTTGATTATTCTCATGTCATAGACTATGAAAACTTCCTTCTATTAACATTTCAAAGAGACAAGGGCTGGGTTTCACTCATGAGGTAGTTCAATCTTAAAGTGAGAAAATGCTTAGAGCACCTTACCTGAGAATTAAAACATGTTAACCAATATATCAAATCTTGTGTGGGTCTCTGTCCTGCCTACCTTTATTTATTTATTAAGTCCATCCCACATATGGCTTTATTAGGTCTTTCTGAAGAGCAAGGGTGCACTCTCCTCTGAAGGTTCCAGGCCTTCGGTGCTAAAAGATAAATGTCGATTCCCTCAGCTGACACTAAGGATTCTTCATAATCTGCTCCCCCTCTACATCCTCAGACTTGGGCTCCATCACTCCTCTTCTCACTCTCTGCTCCAGACAGACTGGGCTATTCATGTACCTGAACGCACCATCATACAATGAACGTTTCTCTACAAAATTGTGACGCATTTTGGTTCCCTGCTTGGAAATACACCAACATCTCCAGCCTGTTCTTATTAATCCTAATTAAACCTTTCCTTCAAGTCCAAGCTTAAATTATTATATTTTCTTTGTGTGGTTTTCGGACATCAATACTAACTTACAAAATAAGGCAGTGCATTCTCTAAAACATGAAGATTTAACATCAGCCATTGACATATCTTATCTAAAATTTTAGTAGATGTGATAAATGGAAAGACATTATTAGGCATGTTCCAAAGTAGCCAAACATTGACATTGCCTTCCATTCAGCTTGCATAAATAAGTAAACAAACAAACAAACAAATAAACAAATACATGCATACAGACAGACATACAACACAGTGATTTTTGTGCCCCTTTCAAAATTTAATAAAAATAATTTGCATGTTAGTCCAATATAAAATAAGTGAAATTGTGGTGAGTATAGTTAAATATTACATCAAATGAGAAAATAAATG